TTTCACCTCTCATCCAAGAGGCTTCATCACTTCTGGCTGACTGGTGTTGAGCCCCCTCGGTGTGGTTTCAGTCCTTTGAAGGCCAACAATGTCCCTTAATGACTGAGTATCGGTGAATGCGCTGCCTCTTTATATTAGGCAGGCCCCCTCATTGGCTACTTTTAAAACTTACTTGAAGACCCATTTGTATGCCTTGGTGTTTGATACGGTGTGAGACTCTGTTCGGGTTCTGGTTTTGGATAGTACTTTGTGCTATTTTGATTTAGTTATTTAATTTTATTGTTGTTTTATTCTTTTTATTATGTAGTTCATATGTTTGCATGTTTTAAATGGAATCTTATGTTAAGCACTTTGTTTGGCTCTGGCTGTGTTAAAGTTGAGTATATATATAAGTTCTGTCAATCACACTTTGCTTCTTGTGCAGTGAAACAGATGCCCCCTGCTCTATGAGCCTTAGAGCGGCTGCTACAGCAGGTGGATGGCGTTGTCTCTGGGCGGAGCTGGGCCTTCTGCCTTCTGCTGCCTGTAGCCTGCTGGTTTTTATGTCTGCACATGGGGTTTGTTGACACACAGAATGTCAGCAGACTTTTACTTCAGAGCAACAAGCAGAGAGAAATGCAGCAGATTTCCACTTTATCAAGATGTTTTTTTGCGGCACTGAAGATTGTGTAAGTCCTCGTTGAGCCGAGTGTCTGTGACAGATAAGCACATGCTCACACATCCAGCTAAGGGACCAGTCGGATTCTATTTTCCAGCAGATAGGAGCTCTGCATCCTGGGACTGTTATAGCCAATTTTTAACACCAGGCTCAAGAGGCAAGTCAGAGTGTCTGGAGAGAGAGGAGGGTTTGAAGGCAGGCGGCTCATTTGTGGCTGGGCTCGGAAAAAGTGTGAGGCTGAGAGAGATTAAACCTATTTGTCACTGCTGATAGTGATGACAGAAAAAAGAGGAGAGAAGAAGAAATTGAATGAAATGAGAGATCGGGGCACTGGATAGTTAGTGGAGCTGAGACGCAGGAGAAGTGTCCAGGGATGTTTGAAGGAGTTAAACAGCATCTGCTCTGAACAGATTCAAACAATCGGACAGAGAATTCTTAATCCAGGTGCTGATCTGACTACTGGTCCCTGTTTGGATGTGCTCATTTGAGTGGTTGCATTGGGCATCAGGTTGGCACCATGTGGTTTCATTAGCAAAGACATGGTGACATGGTGAGCGTGGGTCTGTCCACACACTGAGATTAGCCTGTAGACTACTGACAGGTATCAGAAGCAACCAAGGGTTTTGTGTCAGAGAGTGCTGCATTGTGGGTTGTGCGCTAGCAGCAGCAAACACTGTGGATTCAGTGATTCTGAGTAAATGAGACATTAACATCCCTCTGCATGAATTCAGGGAGTGAACATGTAGTTGCCTCATCCTTGAGTCAAACCTTATATCCAGGCCAGTACAGTCATTTTAGAGACGTGCATGTGTCTGTCCAGGAGACGCCTTGTCTTGAGAATCCTTGCGTGGTTTACAGAGATCACACACACACCAGGTCAGGTTAGTTAGTACAACAGCTGTCTCCCCCCATACTGAGCGTATGTCCTCAGACGTCTTACACGGTCTGAGCCAAATCACTCACATAAGAGCGAGTTGGCTCATTCTTTTGTTTTCATGTTTTATAAAAAGCACCTTGAACTGCCTTTGTGTATGAAATGTGCTCAGCACATAAACCTGCCAGAGCTATTGTGCTGTCAAATATACTCTATTACAATAACTTTTTTAGTTTTATTGTCTGCTCAACATATCAAAAAACATACATATATAACATCAGATAAACACTAGCTCAGACTTGTGTGGGCACACAGTCAACATTAAGGGATATGGATCCAAAAATATCAGCACATCTCTTTTTGGGATTTAAAGTGTTTACAACAGGGATCATCCTCTGGAGACGAGAGTGGGCTCAGGACGTTTCACCACGTGTTAAGCTGTTGTGTTTCTGTGCAGCGTTGGTCCACCGTCAGCGTGACGTGACTGAGTCGCTTCGGTCTGTTTCATATCAGCAGAAATGAAATCCATAAATGTGTCTGAATTGCCTGAAAGGGCAACACGTCATTCGCTTGACTGCCCTCAGTTTTTACTGTCTGGTAACAGTGAAGGAAAAAAATCAGTTCATTGCCGTAGATGAAAAATAATGTGTTGTCTTACTTGTGCAGCAGCAGAGTGATACAGAGAGCTGGTCGGGTC